TCAAGGCTCAAGCTCGTTCCTCGCCCCACGAAGTAACTGGTTGCCACCTTTTTCAGGTACGTCAAATCAACTGGAACATATAAATTATCGCTTGTATTTTTTGGATTTTTTAGGTACCAATGATTATTGTTCGTATTCTCTGTGTGTATGTACAGATGATTTTCTATTTTTAAAGGTATTTTAGTAACTGAATCCATGTGAAATCGATCATCTGGAACCCAAACAAACATGATTATATTGGATGATTGTAGGTAGTGATATCGGTGTTCATTTCCGCTGATGGTTTGCATGTGAACTAGCTGACTGAATTCACCCCTCGATCACCACGTAGACGCAGTTCGGCTGCTTCCTATCTGCCGCGCCTGCCATCTCTCCATGTCCTCATCGTCGTCATGGAGATCAATTGCCTCGCGTTTCGTTCCCCATTGCAAGTATGTTCCTATCATCATAAAGCAGGCTTCTTAGTTTCAAATGCATAGGTTTTTGCAGGGAGTTTGACATTTGGTTCTACCTGTGTTTTGTAGGATGATTATGTTATGCAAAATTCTAAAGAAGATTAGATGCTCTTTCATTCACCTGTCAATTGTCTGGACAAAACAAATGATCATTAATCCGATGGTAGAGATGTTCAACAATTTTGGACTTGCTGAACAGGGTTTCTCATCAAGACAATTTTGAATGAACAAGTCCGATTTCCAGAAGACCGATTTCTTTTTTTTTCTTCGACAACCTAGCAATTTATCTAAATTTTCACATCTACCCCCAAATTGTTCTTTGGTTTATTAATTCCAACATAGTTAGGTTAATTTCTCCTTGTAACTTGATTTTCTTTTTGTGTATATACCCTGTATAATAATAATAAATTTTTAAGTAATCCCTCCGGTTCTATATTAATGAGTATGAAAAATTAAATAGGGTATATAACCAATTTGATCGATTGTGAAAAAATAGCTTATACCCAATTTAAGCAAGTATGAAAAATTAAATTGGTGTATACCTAATTAATACGATTATATAAAAAAAGACTTCGATTAAATCGGGTGTATACACAAATTAAATGAGTATGAAGATTTAAACGTGTATATACCAAACTTAATCGCTAACAAAAAATCGGGTATATACCTAAATTAATCGATAACCAAAAATCGGGTATATACACTGGCGTAGAGATAAACATAGTTGGCTTTGCCTGGTCTCCAAAAAAATGCTATGAGAAACGAGCATACAATTCATTAATTCTTTTCAGTTTTAGTTAAAAGTAGAATATGGTTATAGACTTCTATGAGAAGGTATATTTGTCACATACTTAGCCCTCGGAGATATAACCAATATACGGGTGAAATCCTTTTTTATAAAAGAATTAAGCAGAAGACCGATCTATAGGTTCTATACTCCATACTTTAAATAAATTTAACTATAGTTAAAATAAACCATGCAAAAGTTCTCATTTCTATATATCTAGCGTATCGAAAAAGTATATGTGTACACACACATATATATATATATATATATATATATATATATATATATATATATATATATTCACGCAGTGATATAACCTATCGAATTGAAAGCAATTTTATTAGCTTATACCCTGACACAGTAGGTATATTATACATACACATAACGATACATAGCCAGATAAAAATAGAAGATAGATTATTCGATGGTCATGCAAACTATAATTTATTCCATGGTCATGCAAACTAATAAGGAGTGTATATATTACATATATACACCGGTACTATGTATATACCTACACGAATGTCACACCCGTAGCAAACTATATTACATATGTACATCGCGGTACTATACATATAACTACAAGAATCTATTTCATGCCATATACGTATCCACATAAATAGGGGCAACTACTATTTTCACAAAACAAACCGGTTATATACCTATATAACTCATAGCACAGAGAAACCAAATCATTTGTGAATAATGTAGAATTTACATTTATACCGGAAAAACAAAACATTAATAAATACTCTAATTATTTTTTCCTTGGCCGGCTGTGGGAATAGAATCTAGGTATATATTCTAATATAATTCACTCCCGTGATTTTAAGAAACAAAAACAAAACAGGAGTACATATACTTTATATACGTTATGCATACCCAAAATTAAGGATTATGATTTATCTGTTCAAATGTTTCCTTTATTTGCCATAATTATGTAAGTAAATCAAAGGGCATTAAATACGGCTTAATTAGTACAATGCATGCGCCAGTTTTTTGAACAGGGCATTGCACCTTCCAAATAAGAAATTAAATACGGGTGTAAACCCGTTAATCTTAGAAACACATCAATCTCCTTGATCAAGATCTCATCTAACGGTTTACACTCATGGAGCCCATACACCATGCTGCCCCATTTGGCCATCCTATATATATATATATATATGCATGCAAACCAAAATTCAACTTTTACAAATTATAAGAAAAAAATTCCAGTCATCAAATCTCTACTATTATAAAAATTGAAGTTGTTTTTGTCGGTACTTGTATAAGTCGGTTTTTAAATTCATTCGTTTTTGGAAATATTTATCCGTATTTGAGTTGGGTTTTAAGTTTGTTCGTTTTTGAAAATAAATAAAGAGTTGTATAAGAAATCTCTTTAAAATAAACTCGCATGTTAACTTGATATGATTTTCTAGAAAAATATATATCCAAGCAAATTCTTACAATGAATTCTTAGAAAAATATATTTCCAAACGAATTCTTATAATGAACAATAATAAGATTAAGATAGCCTTCACTCATTACAACGCACGGATGTTATGAAAAAAAAGTATGATATGATAAAGTACGGTCCTGAATTCAACATCTTCTAGCCTCCTTAGGTGACAGTATTTGGCTTAGCACTTCACGTTTAGCGCCAATCCAGCCACTCCAGGAGGCGACCGTTCTTTTCTTCTTCGGCTGGGAACACGACGTCGACACACGTGTAGCATACAGCATGTCAGCATGCGTGTCATGCACTGCTCCCTCCGTCCCAAAATATAAAATTTTAGAATTAGATAAAACATTTCATAATACTATAAATCTGGATAGGTATGCCCACTGTCCTAAAATATAAGAAACTAGAATCGAATGAGATATTTTCTAGTATTGCATGCCTATTCAGATTTATAGTCCTTAGAAAATGTTTATTATATTTTAGGACTAAAGAATTTTTTTTTTACCGGAGATTTTCATGAGGCTTTTGTTCTCGTGGAATCCTCTCTCTCAACTTATCTGTCTGTGGAATCTATGCTCCTGCCATCTTTGTGCAGAGACGTTGTTCTCAAGCTCCGGTGAGAGTGATGAGTCGACGTGCACAAGCTGTATCTCACTTTGCTTTTGTCACTGGAATCTAGTAAGATCCCACGGTGCACGGACCGCTTGGCTTGGATCTTGTCTCAGCTTTCCGATGCCATGTGTTAACAAGTACTACTACGAATTTTCCCTGTATCAATTTGTTTACGGTAAACCCAATGTCGTGCCAGAATGACTCCTCTCATCCTCTGGTACTACTACGTGCTTTCGTCATGGCAAATTTTTGCAGAATCGACGGCGTCTGAGATGCTGTACATATACGGTACACCCTCCTTGTTGTGAAAACAGATGTAACACATAAATTTTATGGAAAAAACCACAGACGCCAACCGGCAATTATCACTATTGAGGAGCCGATTATAAACGTTCGTAAATAAATTTATGGTTTCTATGTCCGACGTTTGACCGTCATCTTATTTTTTAAAAATATGATTCTTTTTTTAAAAGTCACGCATACAATATAATCCATGTTTTATCATCTAATAATAATAAAAATATTAATAAAAAAATTAAATAAGACTGATGGTCAAATGTGGGGGAAAAAGGAGCTTATAAATGAATGTATTTCGGGACAGAGGCTGTAGTTAAAATCAATTCTTGTGATTGCACGCCGCGGCTATCATCTCATCATTTGTACCCGTGACATGGATACGCGATCCAGTACGTACGTAGTACGTCGCCAACGCCGGATGCAGGAAAAGCTGGCGCCGCACGGCGTGACCGCGCGCAGCGGTGCGTACGTACGCGCGCGCGCGCCGCCTCGCACCGCTCTCCGCTTGGCCCGGCGCGCGCAGCCGCAGGCCGCAGGCCGCAGCGTGCGTACGGCGAGGGAAGCAAAGCGTGGACCAACCGAACACACGGGCGGGCGACTCCGCTCGCCGCTCGGCCTCGCCCGCGCGTCACGTAGGTACGCATGGCAGATTGGCAGCGGCATCGTATTCGATCTCGCCCCCACCGCGTCGCGTCGCCATCCACCCCCAAAGCATCCCGCATCCCGTCGTCCCCCGTGCTCTCTCTCTTCCGGCTCGATCGGCGAATCCACGCGAGAACTAACACACACAAAAGACACATTGACCCATCATTACTATACTAATCACTTTCATAACCTAACCTAAATCAGAGTTACTCCTCCGTTTCATATTATATCCCATTTTAACTTTTTACTAGTAAAACCTTCTCAAGTTTGATAAAATTTATAGAAAAATCTAGTAACATCTACAACACCAAATTAGTTATATCAAACTTAACATTGAATATATTTTAATAATATGTCCATTCTGTATTAGAAATATTATTACTCCATCCGTTCCAAAATATAAGTATTTTTAGAATATTGACAAATCAAATATTTTTAACTTTAGCTATTAATAGAAAAAAAAGATCAATAATGTAAAATTAATGTTATAAGATTTATCATTAAACAAACTATCATAATATGTAACTCTTTTTATTTAAATCATTTGATATTGTTGGTCAAATAACATCTCGGAGACTGTGTCAGATTCAAAAGATGCTTATATTTTGGGAGGGGGAGTATTTTTTTACAAATTTAAAAATATTTGACTGGAGAAAATATCAAAATAACTTTAATGTGAAACGGACGGAGTAGTTAACAACCCAAACGCACCGACCGCGACCGGTAATCTCATGCATCCATCCATCCGCTGCATCTGCAATTCTGCATTGGCAGCATCTCTTCTCTTTTCTCTCCTCCTCGCTGTTTCGCACGCACGCACCGCACCACGCCGCCGTTTATCAACGACTCCTTTTTACCGCAAAGGTTTCGTTTCCTTTTTCCTCCCTCTCGTCGCGGCCGCACCCCGAAGCGGAAGGAAGGAACTCCGAGAGCGCCATCCATCCATCAGCACCACCGCGCGCGGGGGGCGTAGTGGCGGCGGCGGCGGCGGGAGTCGCCGGGGAGATGTGAGAGGGAGAACGACGTGGGGGCCGGAGCGGAGATGGCTGCGGCGGTCGTCGTCGCCGGGGAGGCGGCGGCTGCGGCGGCGGCGGCGGGGGCGGGAGGGAAGAAGCGCGGGGCGTCGAGGAGCTGGATCCTGTTCGACGCGGCGGGGGAGGAGCGGGTGCTGGACGCCGACAAGTACGCCATCATGCACCGCGTCGACATCAACGCGCGCGACCTGCGCATCCTCGACCCGCTGCTCTCCTACCCATCCACCATCCTCGGCCGCGAGCGCGCCATCGTCCTCAATCTCGAGGTTCGCGCCCCCCAATCCCCCCGCCCGACTTCATCCGGGATTTTCGGTTCGATATGCGATGGGATCGTGGAGCGCCGGATTCGTGACGGCGAATTCCCGGGAATTATTACCCCCAATTTCGCATGTTTTTTAAGGATTTGTTTTCGGTGGGGCGGATTACGTTGTGATTCATGCTCTGTCTTGCTGTTGCGCGTAGAGTCAAGGTTGTACTAGGTGCACGTACCCGACTGATTCCATGATTGCCTACCTCATCCTCACGAGGACGATTTGATTGAACGGGTTTCTGATCCAAGTGAAGGGAGCTAGCGAATTGATACAGCTGTTTTTTTTTAATGTTTGAACACTGTATTTTAATGATTATTACGGCTCTATCGTGGTGATTTCTAACGAATTCCGTGTTTCTTCCTGCTGGAATTTTCCTTCGGTGGGTCGAGCAGCATATCAAGGCGATCATTACTGCTGAAGAGGTGATGTTTAATTCCTTTCCCCCTTCTGATTGTTTGTCATGTAAGAAGGTTCCATTTGGGTTGGGGGGGGGGGGGGGACTATGTGCACAATTCAACCGTCTCTTCACTTATTGGTTAGCTATCTATAATGTTGAAATTCTCATCAGGTGATTGGGGATTATATACGGATGCAGCACTACTTTGGAGTTTTGTCTCAATTTCTAGGAGTTGCAGGATGCTCAAAGGGGAATGATGCATAGTTTTCTGAACCTATAGCTCCATACAATGCTGATTTTCTAGGCTTCTGTCAGTTTAAGATTAAATTTGTTGCCACTTTGAATAGAGTACAATATTGCAGTTGTCTCAAGTCTGTTTTCTATATAATAAACTAGGGGCTATAGTTTATAATTTATATAAAACTGTGAGGATCTTAAATGTCATTTTCATAGATGCCAAGCGATGCTGGTGGTAACTCACAGTAAATGTTTTTATGCTGTGCTCAGGTTTTGCTCCGGGATCCATTAGATGATAATGTGATTCCTGTAGTAGAGGAGCTCCGGAGACGACTTGCACCTTCAAGTGCCACTCAACATGATGTGGAAGGTGCTGAAGAAGATGGTAAGTTTGGCTTGTGATTCTTTCTGAACTGCTGATGTTCATATTGGCAACACGATTCTGTCTGTATGATGTTTGTTGTGGTAACTTTTAGTATATGTTTCTTCCTTGATGGTGAAATGCCAATACCCTTTTGATGTCAAGGAATTGGACAAAAACAACGCACAACATGTTTTTAAGAAATATGAAAGAATTCAAAAATATTAATTGGCCGCAAAATTCTTTATTGGGTTGCGGCCACACCATCCTGTTGTATTCTTCTTTAATTTGTGTCCTTTTCAGTTGGACATTCAGTTGAACAACGCGACCTGTCACTCCAATAGAAAAGTCCAAAGCATACAGTCATGAAACATAATTATTATTCTGCGATGTCTATTGGACTTTCTTGCACTAGATCAATATATTATGTGTCAGTCTATATTGGGATTTTGTCTTAAACTGAGATTTTGGGATAAATGAAAGAAATTTGAAGGACCCTGATATGGATTCAACTGGATTCACGAGCCATGACTAAATTAACACATCGTGGTGGGCATATAAACACAGAAACTTGAGAATAATAACATTGATCTATCACTATATGAGGACTTTCTGACCCTCTACAGAATAGTATTTGTTTGGTTTAATTTAGTCTACAGTATGTAATACATATTACAATTGATGTGCCATTTTATAACCATAAGTTGATCCCCTTGCATCAAATTGACTTGGAAACTTTCTATCTATCCTATCACTCCATCAATCAACACTGGCTGGTATGCTGATAAAATCCTACCAATGTCTAACAACTGTTGTGGTTGTTTTGATTGTAATATTCTATTTGTTGTTTGTGAACTCCATCAATAGTTTGTTAATATCCCGCAATACAATTTTATGAACTCCAGAATCTCCCTTTGAATTCCGCGCACTGGAGGTTACTTTGGAAGCCATTTGCAGTTTTCTTGGTGCACGCACTACTGAGTTGGAGAGTGCTGCTTACCCAGCTTTGGATGAACTGACATCCAAGGTGACTGAATATATGCTTACCATACTGTATTCCCTTGTTATGAACTTGATTACTCCTAGAAACATGATATGTGTGATTTTATTTGAAGCAACAAGCATAATATGTTAATTGCTAGATGAACTAATTCCCCTTATTTTTCATATGTGAAATAAATATATAATTGGGTACTTGATTGGTAAAATAATGCTTCCACATCATATTTTACTTGTACTATAAACTGTTCAATTACAATTTATAAATCAAATTCTGATTCATAGGTTGTGCTAGTAACATTTTTCAGTAGGAATTTTTGCACAGACTGACCAAATTCATGCCACAGCTGTTACCTTGATTCTTTTCTATAGCTCAAATGTCCATATATGTTTCACCATCCATATAATGCCAGCAACTATGTGATAACTTAAGGTTAAGAAATTATGATATCTTGCAATTTACTGATGTAGTGAGCATATACTTGTCTGAACTTATGCTATTCACAATTTTAGCAGCATAATAGTGTAGTTTGCCCAAGAAGTGGAGTGCTGTATTATTGATTTCCGTTTGTCGCCAAACAAAATTGTAGCTAAAGTTGCATTAAGTAATTGTACGATGAACAGAAGTTACATTTGAGAATTGTATGGCAAATCTTCACAGCTATTCCTTGAAACTTCTATGCTTATCATATAGCCATTATAGGTCTCTTAACTACTTGTTACATTCTCAGCACATCAACTGCATTATGCATACTAACTTGATCTACTACAAACACACAGATTAGCAGCCGCAACTTGGATAGGGTGCGGAAGTTAAAAAGTGGTATGACACGATTGAATGCGAGGGTTCAGAAGGTCTGATTTCTTGGTTTGCTATTTGACACTACTGAGTGCAGTTAATTAACTTTATATTTTTCAGATAATAGTCATGATGTTCACTGTATTTTTATGCCATATTCTCATCTGATTTCTACTTTTGTTGTGAGATTGTTCTGATAATTAGCCATATTAGCTGAAGAATCTGTGCACTTCTGACAGGCATTGCCATGCTTTTATCATTTCTTTGCTATGTCATAGCACGTACATTCTTGTATCCAGGGTTAGTTATTTTATAAACAGAATTAAAGAACCTCAATCATCTAGAAGAGCATTGGTAATATTATATACTATTCTATATTTGACAACATACAGTTCTGCTTTCTATTCTCTTGCATACTTGGTGTGTATCACCCGTTATTTACTAGCTTTTCTTGTTCATGCTTTCCTATTAGATCACAAAATGTTTGTTCTCTTTGCCAGGTGAGAGATGAACTTGAACAATTATTGGACGATGACGATGACATGGCTGATCTTTACTTGTCCAGAAAGTTGGCTGGGGCAGCTTCCCCTGTCAGTGGCTCTGGTGGACCAAATTGGTTCCCAGCATCCCCGACTATTGGTTCAAAAATATCAAGAGCAAGCAGAGCCAGTGCCCCAACTATACATGGAAATGAAAATGATGTTGAAGAGCTAGAGATGTTGTTGGAGGTCTTTTTTGTTTTTCTGCATCACAATGTCTTGTCATTCTCTGGCTGAGATACTAAAAGTTTCTTAAATTTGCAGGCATACTTCATGCAAATTGATGGCACATTAAACAAATTGACAACGGTAAGTTGAGGCAGCTAAGTCGAATTTACAATATCAAAATGGGCTAGCAAAACATGGCCTAAGGCTTTTGTTTACAACACAACATCGTTGAAAATTAATAGTACTCTAGGCTTTCACCCTTTGCTGACTGTATTTGTCTGCTATACTGTTTCAGCTGAGAGAGTACATTGATGACACAGAAGATTACATTAATATCCAGGTAACATTTCCCTATGATATAGCTGTGCACGGCATGCTGATCTTTTAATCTTGGCACTCACCTCATTACCTCTCGTGCAGCTTGACAACCACCGTAATCAGTTAATTCAGGTAATTTCTGAACTACAAGACCTCATGATTCTCTCTTCTTAAGTGCAAATTCCACAAAAATAGAATTGATTTCAAACTAGCATGCTGTTAAACCCACACTGAAATAAGCTAAATGTTTCATAAAACTTGGTTACCATTGATTCAGCTGATTGTGCTATTCTAGTTAGTAATGCTTGCAAGTATAAATTCTAGTAGTTATATAAATACTCTGTCATTGTGCCTCCCGACTTTCTGCAACAGTAATATAACTTGGATTTGCTTCTTCCTGCAGCTAGAGCTATTCTTGAGTTCTGGGACCGTATGCCTGTCGCTTTACTCATTGGTTGCCGGAATTTTTGGTATGAACATTCCATACACCTGGAATGACAACCATGGATACGTATTCAAATGGGTAAGTCAACCATTACAAAAGGGTCGTTTACCGTCAATAAATTGTGGCCTGTCTAACCAAGCTGTAAACTTTGTTCCTGCGTCACAGGTGGTTCTCGTGTCAGGACTTTTCTGTGCCTTCATGTTCGTCTCCATTGTTGCGTACGCACGGCACAAGGGCCTCGTCGGGTCGTGAACCTTGCCCAAACTGTAAATTTGAGCTAGAGCAACCTTGCGTATGATTAATCTCTTGTACCAAAATTCATCAGTATAAAATTGGGATGATGAAAAAGAACAATAAATAGGAAAAAAAAAGAGTAAATTCCAAAGAGATATATGATGCTTGTCTTCTTTACCCGTGGTTTGCCACTTTTAGGTGAAAAAGAGGCAAGCTGGTACCCTGGACAATTTTCTCGTCTGTCTCGCATCACCACATGCTAATTATTAATGCCCTGGTAACTTCAGAAGAAAGTGTTGCTACAAATGCATTCTTCCTTGCAGAAGAAAGCGTTGCCATTTTTCTGAAAGGTTTGTGGAAGACTTTTACCATGAGTTAGAAGCGAAATAACAGGACGAACAATTCTTAATGGGAAAAATCAACCAATCGCTTTCCCTTCTAGAAGTATTAAGGCATACATAAACATAAGCTAAATTACATTCGCGGGAGATTACCTGCGTTAGAGTTTAAATCTTGATACAAACAAATATATTACACATTCTCTATTTAAATAGACTTTAACAGGAATTTATATTTATCTAGATTCATTAATATCAATATAAATGTGAAAAATGATAGAATGACTTACATTGTGAAACAGAGTAAGTATATGTTATATTGTTACGGTGTTAAGTGTAAAGTGTTGTGTGTTTATCGTGTAATCGGAAACAAAGAAACGGTTATGAATGATTAATTGAGATCACACCGCGGTCTCCAACAGTTCGGTTATGAGTAGTATGATCTTGTCGATAGTACACACAAGTAGTATGTTCTTGTCGAACGTTCAGGGGATCGGAGATTAATTATGTGCAGTAACTTCTTCACAGTTAGAAAAATCAACTAATGCCAGTATCTATCATGGACTTCACAGGTCAAGCACAAACAGTCAAGATGGTGTGAAACTCTCTCACATGCATACGCAAGGAAGAAATAAAAAGAAGAGGTATTTGCAATTCCACAAGGCCGTGAGAACGAGCATTATGCATAGCAAATCTTCGTTTAAGTAATAAATCCTATCAATTCTGCCAAGCCACATTGCAAAAAACCTCTCCGATCCGTTCATATGATCGTTGCCCTATAAGTACAAAGCCAGATACAATTAAGAGCTGAGAAACTCATCATGATCATAGTACTTTGTAAGGTAGTTCAGACATATATACACATTACACACCTTTTTTTTTTCGGAGATTACACGCCTAAAATTTTGTTCCTAAACGCAGCATCATATATACTCCATAAATCCCGTTTATTGGAGATCTTGATCTAGCAAGGCATATATACTAATTAAGCAGTACACATATATATACGTCGTTAAGCAAGTCTAAATTTGGCAAGGATGACTCCCAGCTTCTCCTTGGACAGAGGCTGCACGCACAATAGAACAAATTAAATTACCATATTTCATATATTACACTTACAAAGTATATATACTCCCTTAAAAAGTTATTTACACATTTATGTCATGTATTCCTCCCTGCATGGAAGATTGTTAGGAAAATGTAACTACTATGAAAACAATTTTTATAGAAGGCTAAAATGGATTATGTGGGTCTACGGGTAGTGGGCCGCCTATGAAGATTATGTTTCATAGACAGCCTCTTTAAGTGAGCCGACTGTCATAATGGATCTTCGCAGACGGACAGTTATAGAACCCCTAATCACAAATATGCAGGCGGGTTATCGCGGCTGAAAATAGGGTTTGTTTCTAAAAGATCCATAGCCCTCACAGTAAAAAAGAAAGATCTTGTTTTCTAGTAGCGTGTGTGTGTGAGAGATGTACATATGAGACGGCATTCCCATGCCATTGCATGCATGGCTGTCCCTGCGCTGCGCGCAGGCTCTCACCTTGGACGTGAAGTCGTCGGCGCCGGCGGTGATGAACGCGTCGACGTCGGCGGGGAGGCCGTCGCTCGACACGGCGACGATCGGCGTGGTCACCCCCATGCCCCGGATCCGCCTCGTCGCCTGCACAACAACAACACACGCTAGCGCGCCGCCCGCGCCGCGCGTCAGCCGGCCACACCAGCCGCCAAATCGGCCATTATTTCATCCATCCATCCATCCATCCATGCGTCTCGTCAGAGATAGATCGATCGATGATCTCACCTCGTGGCCGTCCATGACCGGCATCTGCTTGTCCATGAGCACGAGGTCGTACGGCGCCGCCGCGTCCCGCACCCGCTGCACCGCCACCTCCCCGTTCTCCGCCTCGTCCACGACGTCGCCGCCGCCTGCCGCCTTCAGCGCCGCTCTCGCCACGACCTGCACTCACCACCAGCTCGATCGAGCCAGCCATTAACGACGATCTCTTAATCACATATTACTAGCTAATTAACTAAGCGATGAATTACCCTATTGATCTCCTCGTCCTCGACGAGGAGCACCCTGATCATCTTGCGAGCCATGAACTCTTACTCTGCTGCTCTGCCTGCAGCAGATCATTCGCCTAGCTGCTAGCTATATACTACTCATAGCAAGCAGTAATTAACAAAGCTCGATAGCTAGTAGCTAGCCTGGTTGAACTGAACTAGTAGTGGAAGATCATGAGGAGAGATCGCGCTGTCCCTGTTAGACGCGCTGGGCTTTCACGAAGTTGCATGGGTTGCGATCCACACGCGATCTGCAGCTGCTTGGCCTATTTCCTGCAAGAATCTCTCTACCTCCAAAACGGCAAAACGCAACTACGTGCCACGCCAGCCTTCCACACCGCCGCTGTCCGGTTTAACCTTTCATCTCTTACTAACAACGTGTGAACACACATTTCATACCGCTGAACGGTACGTTTCGTAAAAAAAATATTTTTATATAATATATAAGTTTATATATTATAAGTTTTTTATAACATAACTTCAATTTTATACTAACTCTGTAGTTTTACGATAACTTTATTGTTAAATCTGTAATTTTACGATACTTCACCTTAAACTTGTATATTTGTGATAAATTTAGTGTTAAATCTATAGTTTTGTTGTAAATATAGACACATATTAATCGTCGGTGTTTCAACTAATCGGTGGTTCTCTTTTCGTCAAACAAACCGTATTCCATCATTGCTGGAAATTGCACACTTCCGGAAGTTATAGTTAGGTTGCATTAATCGTTATCTTGGTTTGGAGGAAGATTTTCAATGCACGTAAAATTTTAAAAAAACTCATTAACACATAATTAATTAACTATTAACTATTATAAAATATTCTAATAGATTAAAGTTTGAAGTTGAAGAAAAAAAATAGAGTCTTAATATCTCGCGTCCACATTGTTGCGATTGCAACAGGGATATGTGTACACGTAAAACCGCTTACGAGCTTAGCCAAGCTTTGGGGTTGGTGCAATTGTGCAGAGATCGTGGTGCTAACATCGTCGATCGGACGGCTGGGGATTGGATCAGATCCACGGCACGTGATTATTCTTGCGGAATAAGTTCACCGGAGGTCCCTTAATTTAACGGCGAGATTTTTTAAGACCTCTTAACCATAAAATCAGAAATCTTCACCCCTAAACTATACAAAACCGTTCACCGGAGGTCTCTCGGCAGTATTTTTGCCCGATTTTACTGACGTGACATCCTAGTCAGCAATTTTTTTTTAAAAAAAGTACTTGGGCCCACATGTTAGCTGCATATTCTCTTTTCTCTTCTCTTCTTCGGAGAGGCGGGCAGATGCGGGTGCGGCGACCGGCGGCGGTGCGGGCGCGGCGGGGTGTGGGGAAGAAGCGGGAGAGGAGGAGAGGAGCGCGGCGGGCGGCGCGGAGCGAGCTGCAAGTTGCCACTCAGGTCGAGCTTGAGTAGCTGCGTGAGGTCGCCAATCGGCTAATGGTGGATGGAACCACGACGGAGCTCAACATCACGTCGGCGAACATGTTGCCGTCGAGGAATATCTCAGCCAAGGTGTTGCAGTTGGTCAGGTTGTTCAAGAACTCCCAGGCGCCGCCGTCATCGGTCGGCGTACGGCTCCGATGAGATGGATGCCCCGCTCCTGCGGAGCCTCCCCTCCCTGGGGTGGGCGCTCCTCTCATTGTCTCCCGCGCCCGCGCGGATGCTCTCCACGGCAGCATCCGACGCCCTCGTTGAGATCAAGCCAGGCGAGATAAGCATGGTCTCCGACATCCCCAAGGAGCACCTCCGCCGCAAGGTGCTTCTTTGGACTTACTCTGATTTATGTAGTGTCGATAGATTCGCTAGCCCTCGCAGACCCGTGTGGGAATCGCTCGAGATGTCTAGGTTTGGTGGGTTCTTTTGGTTGTTACTTGGGTTAGGGATAGAGCCTGGAGGTGTCGGTCGTGAACTCGTGGTACAGACTACAGTGCTATTGCTAGTTGATGTTCGAATCGTGGAGTAGATAGAAATGCGAATTCGGTGATGAAGTTTTACACTTGTATGGTTTGAACTGCGTTTAGAACTTGGGAGGAATGTGCTGGTCCGCGCGCGCCCACGTCGATCGGCTGGGAGCTCGCCACGGAACACGTTGTTCACGAGTGTGAGGCCTCGCAACGACGTCATGTTGAAGAAACTCGGCGGGATCTCTCCAGTGAGGCTGTTATGCGACAAGGCTAACATGCGGAGCGCTGGGAGGCTTGACAAGCCGTCGGGGATGGAACTTTCCATAAGGTTCTGGTCGAACTCGAGCTGCACGATCTTCGTGAGGTTCGCCAGCGATGGCGGGATGTGGCCGGAGAGCGAGTTGTGGCTGAGCCGGAGCACCGTGAGATTCGGCAACGCGTCGAGCCACCGTGGAACGCCGCCGACGATCGAGGTTGTTGTTGTTGAGGTACGCGACGTCGAGGGCGGTGCAATTGCGGAGCGCGTCAGGTATCTCGCCGGCGAACGCGTTGTCGCATAGGCTGAGATACCACATCCGCCGGAGCCAGCCGAGGCCATCGGGGATGCTCCCGGAGAAGGCGTTGGAGGTGAGGTTGATGAGTAGCTCGAGCTGCGTGAGGTTGGCGATGGCTGGTGAGAGCTCGCCGGCGAGGCGGCTCATGGACGGCTCATGGACACGTCCAGCGACGTGACGCACCCCGCCGCCCGCTTCTCTGCCTGCGGCCGCGTTCGCGCCCGCCTCCACTCTGCTGCCACGCTCGCCCTCCGCTGCTCCACCTGCCGCCGCCTCCCTCGCTAAAGAAAAGGAGAGAGGAGAGAAAAGAGAAGAGAAGGAAAAGAAAAAGAGAAGAAAAAAAAATATGTGCAGCTGACATGTAGGCCCCACGTACTTTTTAAATTTTTATTTGCTGACTAGGATGCCACGTCAGCGAAACCACCCATATATACTGCTTAGGGACCTTGAGTGAACGACTTTGTATAGTTTAGGGTGAAGATTTCTAGTTTTGTGGTTAAGGGACCTCAAAAAATCTCGCTGTTAAGTTGAGGGACCTCCGGTGAACTTATTCCTATTCTTGCGCATCCCGGACACAACCGGGCCAGTGTTCAACTCGTGTATACGAATGCGTGCGGAAGCCCACGGGCCAAGGCCCATAGTTGTTGGGCCCTAACCAGTCCGTACTCGTACAGGAATAAGTTCACTTTTGGTCCCTCATGTTAACATCAAGTTTAAAGCACGTACTTCAACAGCGATATCGGGTATAGCACATCATTTTATAAAACCGGTGTAAATAATATCCCACGGTAGTGTGGGATCCGGTACCGGTATTAACTGACGTATGTTAGTGGGTGCCAGTCAAAAAATTGCAATGAGCTCTCCTCTCCTCTCCTCTCTTTTCCCGCTTCCCCTTCCTTCTCGCCGGGTGCTTTCGCCACGAGTGCGGCGTGGTCGGTCTTCGCCGCGCCCGTCCGCGGCTTTTCGTCGACGAGAGTGTTGCACGCCTCGTTCGATGTCTACGACGTCGACGGAGACGGCCGCATCACAGCTCCACCGCGTGTGCCGCGCTGTACGAGCGCCGAGGGTATCGGCGCCGGCAACGACGACGCAGAGCGCGAGGTGGCCGCGCGCTGGCCGCCGCCATCTCCTCGTCTCCTCTCTCCCCGACGCCACAGCCGCAGCAAGGAGAGGCGCCGCCGCCTGCGCCGCTCTTCTCCGCGTTGGCGCCGCCCTGAAGAAGAGTGGAGATCTCAGAGGAGTGAGACGAAGTCGGAGGAAGAAGACTAAAGACATGCCCCTGACATGTGCGCCCCACTGTAAATTTTCTCTGACTTGCAAGTGTCAGCTAGATATCACATGGGACGAAGACCTAATTCATGTCACGTTAGCGTCACGTCGGTTAAAACTTGAAAGCGGACCCAATACTATCATCAGCATCACATCGGTTAAAATTGGACTCAATACTATCTTGAGACCTGATTTACATCGGTTTTGTAAAATGATGGATGCGTTATACACCAATATTGCACTTGAAGGATGCGATTTAAACTCGATGTCAAAATGACATGAGGGATCTAAATGAGCTTATTCCTACTCGTACGGGGGCCTCTCTGGGCTCTGCTCTGGCCACTTGATGCTGCTACTGGAACTGGAATCTCATTAATCCTGACAGGCTGGGAGTAGGAGTATCAGACAGACAGCTCATCACAGTTGCTCTACTCTTCGCAAACTGGCCGCTGCTAAAATGGAATATGAGCATTGAAACAACAGCTTTGTTTGCTTACAGAGTAGGGAAAATGAAATAAATAAATGTCGATGAACTCGTGTGTATGTGCTTTTCGCGGTTTTAGTTACAAAGTTATTCTCCAAACTTCTAACTTTTTCATCACATCAAAACTTTCCTACACACATAAGGCCTCATCGTTTGGCATATTCATATGCTTATCAGCCAAAATTTGAGTTTTCAACGTAATATTTAGAGCTGATTTTGGGGGGTTTTTTTATCGAAGTTTAGTTTTCAGCCTTTGCTTTTAAATCGCTAAGAACACATATATAAAAGTTTTATTCACAAATTGATTTTCGTTTGCAAATATGCCATTCAGAAAATATGCCAAACGATGAGGCTGATAAACTTCCAACTTTTCCATTACATCGTTCCAATTTCAACCAAACTTCTAATTTTAATTTTAACCAAACTTCCAATTTTGATGTGAACTAAACACAACCTTTATTTCCAAATTCATAGTTCTAGCTAAAAATTATTCTTTTCTGAGAGGAGAAGGTACAATTGCTATGAGCTACGGTTTGGTTCTTGCAGGCTTTGCATTGCAGCATCACTCCATCTCTGAAGTCTGAAGTCTGAGCTGATTACTGAAGGTGAGAAAGGGCTGTGTCAGTCAAAAGCTCTGCTGACTCTGCTCCTATGCTTGTTGTAGGAGTACTAGAGGACATCAGATGGCTGGCGTTGAATCCATTGGCTTCTATCTGTCTTCCTTGGGAACCAACCATACATTAATTGCCCATGTAGAAACAAACGATTTATGGACAACAAAAATAAAACCCACTGGTTAAAAAGCATTTTGAAGAATATTAAGGTGATTTGATCTAATATGGAAACAATTTTGTCGTTACGGTGATTGTGGCGCGAAAAACACCTTATTTCTGATAATAAAAATGGAGGTGGAATTCCCCTCCGATTAAAAGAAATACTAACATGAAAATATTAAATTACACGCGAAACCATGTTAAATTGGCGTGAAAATTATAATATCACGTCGGTGTCGGTTAATATAATTTATCCCGAATATAAAGTGTAAATTGACAAAAAAATTCTGTGAAGCTATCACTGTAACAACAGGTGCTTGGGAAAGCAACTTTCTGGCAGCTGCCGCAAGCACGAAGATGTCATAACCTTACAAGGGAAACCACCTGCATTTTCTACTGTTCTGGGTTAGATCAAGCTGATATGTGCAAAACTACCAACAAACAAAGAACTACTACTATACACTAGGAGAAAAAATGATTAAACGAAGCTGTCGCGACTTCCCAAAGCAGTTTGGTTCTTCTAGTATCCGTGTGACAATTCGTGTTCCTGATAAAAAAGACCTGCATCATCGTCTCATCCGACGTTCGTGTCACGATCAAGTTGACACTGACTCGATCTACCAACCACGGGATAATCGAGTTGATTTGATAATCTTTCACCAAGATAAGTTTCAGCAATGTTGTGTGTGTACTATCTCCTTTTTTTTTATCCTCCCAGCTATTAAATAGCCCTCCGATATCTTGCTATTTAGGAGTATTAAATGTAGATTACTGATAAAACCTATTCCATAACCCCTAGACTATTTTGCGAGACGAATCTAACGAGGTATATTAATCCATACTTAGCGGATGATTACTGTAGCATCTATGTTTAATACTTCTAAATAGCAAGATCCAAACAGGGCGTATGAAACTTTCAACCAATGATTTCTCTTCCCTCAGACAATGGAAACAACATGATATATCGTGTAAGATGTAAGAAGCTACTTGCTTCTTCAGTCCCAAAATATAACAACTTATCAATAGATTAGACACTATCGTTGCTATAATTTTTTGACGGAGAGAGTAGCCATCATTTTCTTGTATGCAGTACTCCAGTTATTTTTTGTCGTGAAAAAAATAAATAATTGTGAATACTACTGCAACTTAAACGTGCATATACTGTAATAATACTGTATACGATACATATACGGAGAAAAAAATACGGGGAGCTGAAAATTCTCCCAGGTGCCTCTCGGCTACGCGCACCCGGCGCCGCCCACACGCAATCGCCTCCTTCTCCTCCTCTCTATTTATACACACAAATACGCCAATAAAAAATTAGACTTACCTCCTCAGCCTCCCCACCCACGCGTCTCACCGGAGCTCCGCCGCCGCCGCCGCCGTTTTCTCCCGTCGTACGACGCTGCGTGTTCCCGAGTCTCCCTTCCGCCGCCGCCCTCCGGAGCCGGCCTGAGTTTGGACGAGGTTGGGAGGGAGGTCGCCTTGGACGAGGAGGGGGAGGAGGAGGAGGTGGTGGTGGTGGTGGGGCGGCGCCGTCGCGGGGGGAGATGGGGGCCGCGCGTGGCGGGGTGCGGCGCGTCCGGCGGGAGGCGCTCGTGGCGTGCATGACGTGCCCGCTCTGCAAGGGGCTCCTCCGGGAGGCCACCGCCATCACCGAGTGCCTCCACACCTGTAAGTTCTCTCTCTCTGTCTCCCATCTATCCCGTGTCTCTCCCATGGCCGTCTCTCCCTGCGCCCGCGGTTCGCCGCGCCGCCGCGTTTGGGGGGCGCGCGCTCCTCTCATGGCTTTCTCTCTCCTGGCGCCGCCTTGCGTGGGTTCTCGTGGCGTGGCGTGTCGACTGCTTGGGTTTCGGTGTCGGATTCTTCGTGTTTGATCGAGGCTGGTGGTGCCCCGTGCGAGTTTCTCGATCCCGGGAGAGCGGCGGCGGGGGGAGCGCCGCCTTTCGCCTGGATTTGCTGCTTCCGGTTGTTTTGCCTGCTTCGGTTTCGCGTCGCGTTCCCTCCGTGGTGTTCAGCTCGACGCCGCGTTCGCGCACGAGCGCGCGCGCGCGCTTGCTTTCCCCGTGGCCTTGGCTGGCCGGCGTTGTGGTTGGAGCTCACCATGCTTCGCGCGTGCGTGCGTCGTGTTCAGCCAGCGTCGTGTCGGGCGATGGCTCGTTCCACGTCGCCATGCCTCCTCCGCCTGTGTTTCTTGTTCGAGTTCTCTCCTCGAACGTTCTCGAACATCCCATGGCGTGCAGTGGTAGCTCCAAACGAGCAGGTTTGTAACCATGGATTCGGTCTGCTTTGTCGTCGTCGGCAGAGTAACAGTTATGCTCTCCGGAGGCCGCGGTCGCCGGAGCCACTCCGGCAACGCCACTCGCCGCCGCCGACGCCACCCTCTGACTATAGTTTTCTCCTCATGCTCTTGCTCCATCGCGTGCCAGCGTTTGCCCCTCCGGCGCTGCCATGACCGCGATCCTGTCGACTCGACAATGTAGCAAAGCTGCTGCCTTAAGCCAATCCAGGCAGCCTCTCATCACCGCGGCCAAAGCCTTCTTCCTTTGAGTAGAGTTCATCGGCGGTGGTCGCTGTTGTCATCCTCGTGATATGGCGTTCGGGTCCAAATTCCCTCAAAGTCTGAAGTCTGAAGAAAACTTTCGATACATGTTTTCTTTCGGAGCTTTTTGGTGCTGGGAAAAAGCTGTAAAGCGTCAGCACTTGCTGCAGAATGTATGGGGGTTGTGCGGTGTTGGCGGGGTTCCAGTAGCTTCCTTACTGTTCGTGTTTGCTAACGGTGGGGGAGCTTGGAAATGGTGGGCATTTTTGCACTGATTGCGATTAGGAACACGTTATCATTTTGGTTAAATGACCGACACCGATGATGGATTGATGGGAGTTCAGTGGAAAGCAATTGTGCCATGGAATATGGTTTTCCCGGTGTTCTGGTCAGTGTGACCAAATGAGTTTGCGTTAGGAAACTAGTTCAGATTTATGCTTTCTTGATTGGTCCATAATTTGTATCTGTTAGCCACTTAGCCTCTTGGAATTTTTCTTGTTCGTTAGTCGCATAAACTTGCACGCTGTTTAAAAATGCAACTTTTGTGTAACTTTACTAAATGTTTGCTTTGGTCTATGTTTTTGGCTGGTTCACCTGGATATGTTTTTTTGTGGTAAGTTAGAAATAAATGTAATGTAATTATGTAAAGTAGCGAGTTGTCGGATGTTGATCTAGTGGTAGAAAAGGTGATTGATAGATAAGAAAAAATAATTGCTTGATTAGTGAATGCTCACTTGTTGGTATCATTGTTGCAATTGGAAGTTTGTGTCATTTGTCATGCTATGAACCAGATGATTGCTAAGTAGGCCTAGTGCTTCTGCTGCAGTGTAGATGTTAATTATTGATGCATGAAGCCATGAATACGTTGTTAGGAACCAGAGTAGAGGCAGTGCTATGCTAGAGTTTGCATGTTTTTACCAAATCACTAAAATCAACTACGTAGTCTTAGTTCATTGTTGCCACTTGCTGCTAAAGGAGTTCTCATGCTTGGTCTGAAATATGGTAGTTCTGTTTTACCTCTGTTTGAAACTGGCATGTTCTCTTTATAGTTACTCGTCTGACCATTTCTTAAACAGTTTGCAAGGAGTGCATTATGGAGAAAATAGATGACGAAGAAGTCGATCACTGCCCAGTATGCAACATTGATCTTGGCTGTGATCCTGAAGAGAAACTCAGGTGAAGTCATTGTTAGGTTTCTTCTGTGAAACATTGTCTGCTCTTTTTACAATGCATTCTCGACTTCCATTTCGTGTACAACCCATTAAGAATCATCATCATTTGAACCTCCAGAGACCAGAGGCCATGCTATCTCTAATTGATTGTGATAACACAGAACTTATCTGACAAACTTGACCAGAGAGGATAAAATGGTGATAGACCATTTTACCCATTCTTGAGTTCTCTAGCAAACTTGGCCAGAAAAATATCATATTTATTGTTAGTTTGTTGGTTTGTCCTCAAATACATCCTTGCTTGTATTGTAAAGCAAAACTGTCAAGATTATTCATGTTTAATGTGTTGTATTCATACCTAACTTTGGTTTCTCTAACATGATTGATTGTTTCCTTGTTTGAAGGCCCGACCATAATGTTCAAGATATCAGGAATAAGGTTTTTCCACTTAAAGTGAAAAAGGTTGGTGCTCCTAAGGCTCCAACTGTGACATTGCCAGTAAAGAGAAAACAGAGGTCACTTTCTTCCTTGGTTGTTGACACTCCGAGGGTGGCAGTACAGACTGGTTTGACAGGACGGAGAACCAAAACTGCGAGAAGGACAGCAGTCTCCCATGTAAACTCTCCTGGTAATAATGGAACCATCAAGCTAGCAAATAAATCTGAAGGTCGAGATCATAAAACTCAGAAAATCTCAGCAGCACAATCTGCCAAGATGACAAAAACTGGCAATAAAAAGAAGGTAATATCAAAGTGTTAATTACCTGGTTTATGTGTAGAATCAGATGGTTTCATGCTTAAGTTTGATCTGAACTGTCTTGTATATTGGATTAATCTAACTAAACATTCCACTCCCAAACAGAATAATACTGATGTAGATGTCACAATCCAGTCATCTTCTGAAGATAGGAAGGATGATCATACAATTGACAAGGAAGATCTCAAGAAGCCTTTAAATAGCTTGGTTGACACTGCAAACAGGACGAAATTTTTTAGATCAGGTCCTAAAGGCCAGGCTGCCAAGGAAGACAAAATAAAAAACTCAATTAAGTTACTGGCAGAAGATGACACAGAAGACAAACTGGTAGTTACTGGCAGAAAGGTTATGCCATGCTCAAATAAGTTAAAAGTTAAAGAGGAAAATAATCGCAGTCCTTCACAATCTGCATCATCGAAAGATAAAACCACCTCAGACTATGAGCTGAGGAAAGGACAACATGCTGATTCACAGCAGGGACAGATTGGTTCTACAAGAACTGGTGCTTTGCATGATGGAATAACTAGACCAGTATGGTTTTTGCTTGTCCCTTCACCTGACCAGTAAGTTTGCATCATATCCAATATTTGGGTTCTCATGGGCATTTCTTTTCTCCCCTTAATTTCATATCAAATGTAAACTATTTTTCAGGAAACAAGATCCCAGGCTGCCTCAGCTACCAACATATTACGTGAGAATTAAGTGAGTTCCCCTTGGTCCTGCAGTTTCTTATGATTTTTAATATGCTACAAAGAAGCCTGTTGGATTTAGGATCCTATTATTCCTGTGTGGAATGTTAAGCTGCTTGTTTTAGGTTGTCCAGTGTGGAATGCCAATAGTGTTATTTCCTTGTTCTGTTGTCCACTAATTATTGCAACTGCGTCCTACTATTTCTTTATATAATTTAACAGTATATACTTACAAAACAAATTTGCTCGAGATGAAGATGTTTCCTTGAAAAATATTACATACTTTTTTATCACTACTACCAACGATCTGAGCTATACAAACATGTGTCCGATTTCCAAGAACTTCTATTTATTTTCTTCAATTTGTGTTTTGTCCTTGTTTCAGAGATGGAAGTCTGCAGACTTCCTTGATCCAGAGGTACATCATGAATAAGCTTGACCTAGCAAGTGAAGATGAGGTAAGCTTTCAGATTTCTCTTTTCAGTTCAATTGCTATAAAGACATCAGTTATGCAACATCACTCACTAGACTGGTATATACGCAAAGTAGACGGTTGGCAAACAACTCTCAACTATCTTTGCTACAGAGGCTGTTGATTTTGTAGATTTGGATGGTGACATATGACTGGCCTACAATCTTTAGCTATCTCTACCCTTCAAAAGTGGGCTCTGAATTTGTCCTCTGTAAACTAGCCTTTCTTTTTTTTTTTTTTGCGGGATGTAAACTAGCCTTTCTGTTCCATGTTTCTTGACAACAACAGCAATGCACATGAACAGCTATGAATCTGCTCTTTTGCCTGATCCCTCTATTCTAATCTCTATCCGCAAATGCAGGTGGAGATCACATGCCATGGCGAGGCAATCTCCCCCTCGACCACATTGCAAGGCCTGCTCGAGCTGTGGCTGAAGAGCTCGCCGGTGGAGCAGGTCCAGGCGTCGCTGGGCGCTCAAGCCAAGGAGTTCGTCATGGAGCTCGGCTACCGCCGGCCACAGCGGCCTCCTTCCTCTTAGCTAGCTGCAACCTCTACTCCTCCAGTGCCACAATCCATCTGCTGCAAAATCTGCAGGCAATTGCAGGAGGAAAGAAGACTCTGAAACTACCGATTCATCAGCTCATATCATGTTCATCCGTCAGTCAGACTAGGGTAAAAAAAAAAAGAGAAGAAAAAATTACACCTTTCTCATTTCTTAGATCATGTAAAGAGGGACAAAAGATTAAAAAAAAAGGTAGAACAGTGCATTAGGCTACTAAGATAATCTAAAAGGGTACCCTAACTATGTCTTGTTTACCATCCGATGAAGTTTTCAGGTGAAGTCCCATCTCCTGTGTTAACCTGTGCTGGGCCTGTGTGCGCGCGTGCTGTGCTACAGTAAAATAGTAATTATAATTACTGTAGTAAATTAGTCAGCTGAGTGAGATGGTCTATGCTGGTTTTGTAGAGTTGTAGTAGGAGTAGCAACTGTCCATCAGCTTGTCTCGTAGCGGTCTACTGGTTTGGCTGGTTTGACCAGTAACGGTCTCTGTCTGGGGCTATATCTGTGCATTGTGCTGTGCTATACTGCTGTATAAGCGTACACGGCAGCTGTGCTGTGCTATACTGCTGTATACGCGTACATGGCAGCGACTGGCTACCGGCACACAGCTCATGCTCCTCACGCACTGAACACCAGGGTTCGACTTACCGTTGGTTACCGGCCTTACTGCGGGAGTACGATAATAGAAAAACCACAGTAACCTCTTTAAATTCAAATAAATTTAAAAAATAATTTGAATTTTTGATAAATTTTACACGGTTTCGTACTGTTTTTTACGGTTACCGCCTGGTAACCATGCTTACCGCCAAGGCACAGTAACCCCAGCCCCGACAGTTTGGGAAACCCTGCTGAACACGCAGTTCTTTTCAGCTAATTTAGTGGATTATCATTGTCACAGGATCTTGAAATACATTTTCTTTTTTAAAAAAGCTAATTTGTATTACTTGGTTTTAATCCATTTGTTAAGTTTTTCCTTACGATCTTTAATTTATTATCCATACGATCAAGTAGATAATCTACAACAATAATCTGATGAATAATTTGTTTCAAACGGTCCCCCGTGTTTTACCCTTAGACTCCCTCTAGAACAAGGAATTCCGTAAAATTTAACAGGTATTGAACTAATTCATATAAAATTTTCACGTTGCAAAAGATCCCTTAATTTGTTATATAACGTATCTATTGTTTTACTTAACATAATAGAATCCTTGGAGTCAAACTTTGTAAAGTTTGGTCTCTGCTATATTTGAAGCCATCTATTTTTTGTTGTATTTTTAATTGAATAACTAGAATTCTGGTTAGAGATGTTTTCACAATATTATATTTTATCATTATATCATACGGTTTATGCATGCTACGAACAAATGGCTCGTATTCTGGAATATAGGCTGTCCATCTGAAAGAAATTGGCGACCAGCTTTCTGGTGCTTGTGCTTGTAGTAGGACCTGTTCTGATCTGAGCAGCTCGGCTGGTCCAGCCGTCCAGGAAACAAAAGGCCAACATCATTCATTCTCGCCCAAGAAAAGAGAGGCTTTGTTCTGAGCGAAGCAAACATATGCTAAGGACTAAGGAATAAGGATTCATTTAGAAAAACAAAACGAAACAAATGCTAAGCAACGTGCATACAACACTGCCACGGAGTGGTTTTGACATGATCATTTTTGGTTACTTAGATCATACAATGTGATGGCATTTAGACCAAAGCAGTAGAACAGCACAGAAGAAGTTTCTTTTCGCTGAGAATAATAAACACCAACTAGCTGGAAGATTCTTCAATGATACACCCTTGTGATCCAGCCAAAACTTAAACTTTTTTCTTTTCTTCCCTGCAGCAATTCAATTACGCTTTCTATATTGGTACAGAAAATTGCAACTACAGAAAATTTGAGAAAAATGACCAAAAGAAAGTTTCTTTCTTCCTTTTCCTTGGTTCAGAAATTCAGCCGTTCTCAAGATACAGGTGATAAACCAGACCACCATTCAGGTGAACTAGCAAAAGTGTGAACAGTGGCATATGAGGCACCATCAAACATTCAAGCTGCAACAAAGTTTGCACAGTGAAAAGCCAACGGAGCAAATGGGGCATAGGCACTAATCTGCCTTCAATCTTCTCCTGTCCACCAGATCGAATCTTTAGTGATTCAGACCAAGAACAGTAACAAGTAGAAATGGATGGATTTTGGCATTTCCCCCTTGTATCCAAAGCCATAACATTGGAAAAGAAGTCACATCAGAACAACACAATCTCCACTGATGCTTCCCCAAAGCAGACAACGAGAGAACACAAACATAACTGAGATATTTGCATTGCCATGAGTCCATGACAGTTACCACACAAACATAGATGGATCGATGGACATGCACCAAACATTACAATTTACAAAAGATTATGATGCATCCTATCAAGCAGATTTCACTTTCTATGTTTCAACAAGAGGCACAAGCACATCATACATGTGCAGAAAAAAAAAAGAGAAGCATAATTCACAAAGCGAACCACGCCATAAGCATGAGCATTAGCATTTGCAAGATAAAGAATCAGATTCAATGGCCACTGCCCAACATGTATAGCATATTTGCAAATTAACACCACCACCATACTAATTTACTCAATTCAGTTGCGACTCAATATGTTCATAGTATGATCACACGCAAAGCTAGTATTTGTACACGCTAACAAAAGAATCAACAAACACCGTACCATATATATCATCAAAGATCAAATCAACTGCTAGGTTTGATAATTACACAGTATAAATTCCAGCCAGGAGACACACACAATCATTCATAGCTAATTTGCAAGGCAAGAACATCAATTAGCTACGAGTGTTGGATAAAGAGATTGATGCATCTTGGGGGGATATCATCATACCAAGCCGAGTAGATCAAGCGATGCGAACGTAGGTGGGCAAGATTGGTCCGGCGGCGCTCATGCCGGCGGCCACCAGGCCGTCGCCGGCGGCCTCCTGCTCGGTCAAGAAGAGGTCGTCGGTGGAGCGGAGCGTGGCGTGCGCGGCGACGAGGGCGGCGCCGATCATGACCGAGCCGATGACGTTCCAGCCGACGTTGGTGAAGAGCAGCGCGATGACGGTGACCCCGGTGAGCGCGGCGAGGACGGTGCCGTCCTCGAACTCCATCCCGAGGAGGCGGAGCGGCTGCCCCGCCGACGACGCGGGGCGCGCGAAGTAGAGGAAGAACCAGGCGGCGCAGAGGGCGAGGAGCGCGAAGAGCGTCCCGGGGTGCCAGAGCAGCGAGGCCGCGACGACGGCGAGCACGGCGAGCGCGTAGTTGGCCCGGAAGTAGGCCGCGTTCCGCCGCGCCCTGGCCACCGCCTCCCCGACGCTGGGCGGCCTGGAGAAGGCCGGCGCCCGGAACACCTCCCCCCACGGCCGCCTCGCCGCGATGAGCGCCTGCCCCTGCTCCCGGAACCTCGTCACCAGCTCCGCCGCCTTGGCGATCGGGGACGGCGGCGCCGTCGGGTCATGCAGCTGCGCGGGCGGCGGCGGCACGGGCTGGCCCATCACCGGAGGAGGCGGGGCGGCGGGGTAGGCGGAGGGAGGGGGCGGGTAGGTGGGGATCTTGGCGTACCCTCCTGCTCCCGAGGAGGGTGAGGCGTAGGAGCCGTACATGGCGGCGGAGGCCGGCGCGGGCTGGGCGGCGGCGGAGGAGGTGGAGTTGCGCATGGTGGCGGCGGCGAGATCGGCGAGCGGAGACAGGGAGAGGGGATCGGATTGAGGAAAGTTGTGGTGGATTTCGCTGGATTCGCGTTGGGCTTTCGCTTTGAGTTTGCGTTTGCTTCGCTGGGATTGTGGGGGGAACGGACGGCGTGGAGTTGTGGAGTCGCGCGTTTTTAACGACGGGGTTTGCTTATCGGCAAAGCACCTTCTGTCTGGCTCGTCTTTGGTCATCGCATCGTATCGTGTTGACGTTAACTAGAGTTTTTTTTTGTTTTCCCTCTTCGACTTGAATTTCCCATGAAGTTACTAATTTTCCATGGAAAATGTCCCTTTTATGTCCCTCAACTTTGGGTTGAATTTTGTTCGCATTCCTCAACCGTAAAACCGGATATAAAGCACCCCTTAACCATTAAAACCAGTATAAATCGAGTCCCTAGATGGTATTATCATCTATCAGTACAGAGAAAAAGTAGATGTTATGGAAGAAAAATAAAAAATAGTGGACCTTCGCGTCAGCCCTAATTTCTTCCCTCCCATCTCTCCTGCTCCATCTTTTCTAACCAGTCATTGCCAATGCCACCTGACGGCCGACAAGGATGGCTTCAAAGAGTTGAGGTGCCGAAGCAGTGCGAGCTCACAGAACGTGATCACCACGGCTGCACGGTTGTCTTCCTCATTGAGCTCAACAATCATGTCGCCCACGATATGGACAAACAATGTGCAAATTGCAAGGGAGCACGACGCAGCACGCAGTGTCGCTGGGTCGAAGAGAAAGTAGAGTCACCGGAGTCGATGTGGAATCTCGCTGGCGGCGCTCCTCCCTTCGAATCTCACCGTCTTCCCAGAACTTCATCGCCTCGCCCGCCGCCCCCTAGCTTCACCACCAAGACGCCTCGGTCAACACCAACGATGACGGTGTCATGCTGGTGTTGCTCCCGATGTAGTGGGGCAGGCGGATGTTTAGAGTTGAGCCCGTCCCCATTGTAGGCTCGCATTTGTCATCAAGGGCCGCTTGCACAACGACGTGGGACAGATACAGGGCCGTCTTAGGGGCATAGGCTAGTTGTGCGACCATCTAGGACCCAAGCCGGTATTAGGCCCATCACCAACCAACCACAACCAGTACCACACCTTATTTCCTCATGGCTAGGATTTAGAGTGAGATCTTGTGATCATCTCATCTTCTCATTTGCATCTATCTAATCCGAAAGTTACAACATAATTTTGTTTTGTTCTCGTTCATTAATTTACATTGTAAGTTTATGTATTTATAATGTTTATTCACATTATTTTTCAATGGTACATGATTTATAAAAGTGTATATATATATATATATATATATATATATATATATATATATATATATATATATATATATATATATATATATATATATATATATATATATATAGTAAATTTGTTTGGTGCTCCATGGTGCCCGGGCACCATTGTTGAAATTGAGTATATACCTAATTCAAATGAGTATGAAACTTTTTCAATTACTTAGATATTAACATTAGCTACTTTACTAACTAGTTCAAAGCAAGTTTGAACTGAATTTGAACTTGTTTTTGTTAGATTTTGATTCTAGGTATATAGCATCCATACATATAATTAGTTAGGTATGTAATCATGGATTGTGAAATAAAGTTAAATTTGAGTTGTTTTGTTGATAGGTATAGGTATGAATCGAGTTATTATAACTAGGTATATACTCACAATTTGAAAATTTTGAAAAATTTGAGTGATTTTGTGTATTTGATACCATGGTGCCCCCATATGAGTGTCCTATATATATATATATATATATAAGTAAAAGTATATTTAGTCTTGAGGAAGTTTGTGCCCTCTAGAACTGGCCCTGGACAGATGGACGGCAGTGATATGGCGTGGTGTGTGGCGAGGGCTTACAGCGCTGCTGAGGAGAGGATGAGATCCTATGTTCTATCGTCTCTTCTGGTGAGGCTTCGACGAGGACCTGGCCTTCCTGTTGCACCCCAGCGGCACCACGGCTTCCCAAGGTGAGGCCCGCTGCTGCGCTACTGAGTCAGCTGGTGCTTGATTATTCTAGTATTGCTGCTAATGACGATGGTGGACTGGTGGTATTCACGTAGAATTGATTCTCGTCCAAGGAGGGGGCTTCGTCGGGGAGGAGAGAGAGGCAGAGAGGAAGAAGGTAGGGGAGGATTATATATTTTTCTTGTGACTGACATATGGGTCTCAATATTTCTTTTTTTAAATTTTTTTTCCTTGATAATAATGCCACGCAAGCGCCGTATAGGATTGAAGACCAAATCAAATTGCCACATAGGAAAAAATCATTATTCAAACCGCCGAGAGACTCAACTTTCACTGGTTTTGATTGGTGAGGGATGCCTATACCCGGTTTCATGGTTGAGGGAATAAAGCTTCGCCTATAGTTCAGGGATTAAAAATGAACCTTTTCCATTTTCCTTTAAAAAGATGGAGGTGGATCGGTGATTTAGCCCAAATTCTCGGCCCATTTATAAGGACGGGACGAAATTAGGGCCCATTATATTCAAGTCTTTGCGCACTTATCCCGAACACAGAAAACGCTCCTGTCTGGTATTGTTCAGAAGTCCACCGAGAAAACGCTTTGTTCGGGAACACAAACGAAACTTCACGCTATGTCTCCAACCTGCTTTGTTTTTGGACTGGGCTTCTAGCCTCCTACTACGCTGCTTGGTTTGATTCTTGTAGTGGAGTAGTACTTTTTTTTTTTTGACCGTGATGATTCTTGGAGTAGTTATTATTAATTACTAGCTCCCTCGGATGAAGCTACTGACCAGATCTGATGTGCCTGTTTGACATTGTTTGATTGCATGGTTATTTGTTAGCTACACCGACCGACCAGAGCAAGTCCTCTTACCTCGATGTCAAATGAAAATTTTATGAGTCACGACCGAACCAAATAGTCATTGTTTTGTTTGTAATTCGCGTCAACTCTGGTAACTTGGCATTTAATTAGAACCTATGAAATATACCAAGAGTACTTGCTCTGGAGGGGGTTCTAATCTCTCGAAAAGGGATGTCCTATCATTATTTGTATGTCACTCCAATACTTACGAAAATTTTTAAAAAGATGTATTAATACGTGATATATCACTCCACAAACATGCAACTTAAAATTCAACTTCTACATGTCTCAAATTGTTTTTTTTATCGTTGTGATAAAAGTTGACTTTTAAGTTGTATGTTTGTAAAGTGATATATCACATGTTAATGCATATTCTTAGTTTTTTTTCATAAATATTTGAATGACATGCAAACAACTACTCCCTCCATCCCATACAATAAGGATTTTGAGTTTTTTTTCTTCTACTGTTTGACCACTCATCTTATTCAAAAAATTTGTGCAAATATAAAAAACGAAAAGTTGTGATTAAAGTACTTTGGATAATAAAGTAAATAAAAGAATAAATAATAATTTTAAATTTTTTTAAATAAGACAAGTGGTTAAACAGTGCAAGAAAAAGTCAAAATCCCTTATATTATGGGACGGAGGGAGTAGTAGGAGACATCTCCTCGAGAGTTTAAAATCCACTCTCTTAATAAGGGGCACACTAATCATTTCTCCTACTACTAATTTATCCGATAATTGCTAAAATTAAATTCTTTATAAGATGGAGTTAGCAAAATTAACATATACTGCATTTAACACAGCCCAGAAAACCAAATACCGGTCTTAATTTTGGTACCTCCGTCTCAAATAGAAAAAAAAACATGAATATCAGGGAACGATCTAATATTAAATAATTAAAAGGGGTAAGGCTCGAATTCAGATTGCTAGCCCACCACTTTGTGAAGCTAGCCAGAAGATCCCTAAATGTTTATCCCTCCGTCTGACATCGTCGTTATTTTGTTGGAGTACGTCTTGTAGATACTGGTCACAGTTTATCGTGTTTAATTCATTACCACCGCATATGTAGCATACACATATCGTAGTAACTATTACAATTAACAATCTTGATTATTAAACTTACAGTACACACTGTAGTACGTATACACTACAGTACACATGTAAATCGACACTGTATAGTACGCAGGTACTGCTGATCAATTTACAGAGCGCGAGATTTATTTAGAGATCATACTAGGCAAATCGTATGAGTTGAGAGACGTGATGAGCGCCATTGCAAGGTAGCGACAAGCTACGTACTAACTAATAATCGGCGGAGACGGCGGCCGGAACAAACGGGGTGGCGCAGAGCAGCAGCGGCGAGCGGCGGCGCACGCCGAGGCCCGGCGCCTCCTCCATGTCAACCTCCTTGACACCCACCAGGAGCGACCAATCGAAGTGGTAGAGCATGGCAACGAGCACGAGCTCCATACTGGCGAGGCCATAGTTGAAGCCAGGGCACATCCTCCTACCAGAACCAAATGGGATGAACTCGTAGCTGCCACCCATAAAATCGATAGCATCGTCGTCGAACTGCTCTGGCTTAAACTCCTCAGCATCCTCCTAGTACTAGTACTTAGGGTCTCGACCGATAGCCCACACGTTAACGATGACACGTGATTTGGCTGGGATCGTGTACCCATCTAGCTCACACGTGTCGATGCTCTCCCGCGGCACCAGCAACGGTGCCGGTGGGTGCAGCCTGAGCGCCTCCTTGATCACTAGCTTCAGGTACCTCAGGTTGCTTGCCTGCAGGTCGGCCTCCGTCACCACCGCCTTCCTGTGGAACGCCTCTCGGATCTGCCCCTGCAACTTCTTCATCACCGCCGGGTTCCGCATCAGCTCTGACATCGCCCACTCCAACGCCGACGCCGACGTCCCCGTCCCGCCGGCGAACATGTCCTGCACGTCAAGTGTACATATCATATGTGTTACAATGACCCATGGAGTAGTAACACTTTTGCCTTCATGCACATGCAATCAATGTATAGGGTTACCAAAATGATGGCCTTGATTTTGTTGTCGTCGAGGTGGAAGCCGAAGCCGCCTTTCCACCGAAGCCGCCCTTCTCCTGCAAGGCGATGAGCACGTCGACGAGGTTCTCGTCGGCGTTCTGATCATCGGCGGCACCGCCGTTGTTGATCTTGTCGCCGCGGACGCACCGCCTCTCGTCGATGATCTCCTGCAGGATGGCGTCGACCGTCTTGTGGATGCCGCGGAGGCTGCGCTTCATGCCGGTGACCGCGGCGAGCGCGGTGGTCCACGTCGG